AATTTATGGTGGAGAATTCTTTTTACATGAGGTCAAGTGCTTATTTTACGCGCTAAGTAGCATTTTGTTCAAATGCGCCTTGCAACCATACCAAGGCATCATTTTCCAAAGTGACCACATCCATGCGGCAAGGCAACGCGCTAGAGTGGCGTACCAAGAAATGCTGAGCAGCAAATAAAATACGTTTTTGTTTTGCCAGGCTAACGCTAGCTGCTGCTCCGCCAAAATGGGTATTATGTCGTTGGCGCACTTCTATAAACACCACGGTACCGTTTTTTTCTTGCATAATCAAATCTATCTCGCCGCCGCCTCGCCCAGGTGTACGATAATTGCGAGCCAATAGTCTCAAACCTGCTCGCTGCAGATAGTGCAAAGCGCGGTCTTCGGCCTTGTCGCCTTTGCTTTTGGTGCTATCTACCGATGTAGGCATGAAAAAACAAGTAAAATCAAGATATTAAATTTAACAGCAGAACATTTTGAATATCAATCCCCACCATTTATTGACCGCAGCGCACGAAGCAGCAGCTGCGCAGCATTATCCCACGAGCAGCCTCTATGTAGTGGCCACGCCTATAGGCAACCTAGCAGATATGAGCCTGCGAGCGCTTTATGTGTTGCAATTGGCAGACACAATAGCCTGCGAGGACACGCGCCATAGCCAAGCGCTGCTACAACACTACGGTTTATACGGCAAAAAGCTATTGGCATTGCACCAACACAATGAGGAGCAAGCCGCGCAAGACCTTATCCTGCGTTTAAAGGCAGGCGAGCGCGTAGCCTACATTAGCGATGCTGGCACACCCGCCATCAGCGACCCAGGTGCCAGACTGGTGCGAGCCGTACGCCAGGCAGGGCATCGTTGTGTGCCCCTTCCTGGAGCCAGCAGTATTACCACCCTTATGAGTGCTGCGGGAGCGGTCTCAGAATCCGTCCAAGGTGCAGCGCAGGCGGGGTTTGCATTCTGCGGTTTCTTACCAAGCAAAAGCCAGGAGCGACAAACCGCCATAGCGCGCATGGCAGAGCAAAGCGGTGCACAAATGTGGCTGGAGTCGCCGCACCGCATCGTCGCCAGCAGCCAGGATTTGCAAAAACTGGGCATACGCCAGCTCACAGTAGGCAGAGAACTCACCAAACAGCACGAAGAAATCGTCACCATCCCAGCGCAAGACTTGCACAGCTGGCTGCAAGCCAACCCACAGCGCCAGCGCGGTGAATATACGCTATTGCTACACCCCGTGAATGCTAAGGGAGATTTTGCACAAAATCAAAAGCTTGCAGCACAAGAAACGTTAAAAGAAACACTAATATTGCTTCTGCCCCATATGCCCCTCAAATCTGCTGTAGCACTAGCAGGTAAATTGCATCCAGACATCACGCGCAACGATTTATACCAAATTGGACTAGAACTCAAAAAAACGCTCAGCACTGAACAGCCAACGCCCCAATCCCTACCCAAGTCACGCACAAGC